TCTTTGCCTCCAAGAAGCAATTTGGTTTCCCGCTCTCCTGGACAGACTTGTTTGTTCTCTTGCCAGTCCATGGTATGTTCAGTACTCTTCTCCAGCACCAGAATCCAAAGGAATCTATCCTTCCGTCATCTTTAGTCAGATCTCTGATGCACAGCAAGTAACTGCTAAGACCATGGACTGAATCACGTGCACCTTACTCTCTAAACTGACATCATTGCTCTTCAGAACTCTGAACAGGTCCCTGACAGCATATTTTCCCAGTACAATCCGCCTTTTGATTTCCTGACTGCTGGTGCCAAGAGTACTGACTATGGAACTGAGTATGTACATCATGTAACAGAAACATATTATCCCATATCTTAAAGGTTCACATGATTTTTAAATAAAATTAAAAACTGAAGTGCAAGTATGATTTGCTTCACCTTGAAAAGATTATACCAAGTGATGCAAGCGGGTCACAAAGGATCAAATAGTACAGTAGGATTCCATCTATCTGGACTGTAATACATGAACCCAGAAACAGAAAGCAGACCAGTAACTGACAGGGGTAGGAGGTTTGGAGGTAAATGGAGAATAATGGCTAATGGAATACAGAAATTTCTCTTAGGGAGATGAAAATGTTCTAGCATTGATTGTGCTGATGGGCGTGCAACTCTATGAATACATTAAAAACTACTGAATGGTATACTTCAAATCAGTGAATTGTATGGTATCTAATTATATCTTATTAAGGCCATTATAAAAATAGAATGATTTGCTTGAAGATCTGCTTTGTTTAAAAAATAATAGACAATAATTACAGAGATTTTGAAAGACAAATGTATAAATACAATTTCAATATCACATATCATCCTCAACCCTCACACATACTATTTTTTTTTAAAAAAAAAGCCCTATAAACATTTCATATCATTGCTACCAATATTTTTCATGTGTGGATTTTCTACAGGCCACTTCACACAGTTTCATGCTATGCTTTGTGAGTTTAATGTTCTTTCATGACTATGGAGTCCCTGTTGTTGTTATGTTGTTATGTGCCATCGAGTCGTTTCCGACTCATAGCGACCCTATGCACAACAGCTCTAAACCCTGCT